GAATTTTTCAAAAAAGTCTTTTTAACCCGGACACGTCCACCTGGGGTCCCAACTAATTTCATTTAAGTGATATTCACACACAACATCAGACCAAATCCTGCCTCTCTAGATATGCTCTAATGAAGATTTGTACTATATGCCGCTGACGTCAGTCGTTCGTCATAATTAGTTGTTTACGTGATAAACTATCTCGAGGTACGTGTGAACGCTTGTTGCTCCAGTGAAATTCTTTTCAATGTTTTGTAATTGTAGCCTTAGATAAGGTCTTGACCTTCCATGGACACTTTAGGGGCACCTAGTAGAGTACGCTGACAACAACAATCAATCAGACCAATGTTGTAAAAATAGAGCGTTACTTCAGAAACAATTAGTGTCCAGCTACACTGCATATTGTCGAAATTTCAGTTCTAAGAAAAAAGAAATCATGCTAGGGACGAGAACAACGTAAAAAAAAGATTGAATAAATACCATTCAAATTAACTGCTGTTCTGTTACAAAGCAATGGTAATGTAGTATATTGTTTCTATTTTATCAGGCTGGGGTCGGTAGAGATTCCAGGTGATAGTCCGAAAGGTGGGCGTTTCAGGGTTCAAACATAAATAAAAAGAAATTCAAAGATCAGGCTCTATTACGACGTAGTTTTATGTGCACTCTACAATTTAAAACTCATTCCGACATGTAAGTTTGTACGTTTATTTTAAAAATCTTCCCCCGTACGTAAAGGATATTGTTGACCTATAAATCAACTATAACTCATGAGTGCCTTGGAGATATGTTGCCCTTTCTAAGAGACTTCCTTAATAAAAGTACGAACTAGTAATGAAGAGTGTAGGGAATGATCACCTTAAAGAAGCCTGTAAATAGAGTTAGGACGAGGTTCAGCGCGTTGAAATTTAGCTAAATAAAATTAAAGAACAAATATCATGTTAATTTTTTCGATTCATATAGAACATAGATTTCCAAAATGAACTCGACCTTTCTGAAACTCTTGATTCTTGTATCACTTGTTAGAGAATCATCTAACTTTTAATGTCAATTTTCTCTGTCTAAACTGAATCTTCATGCATCTTAAAGGTCAACTAATAATTTCTAAATCAAAAGTTCTATCTTATCGATGATGCATTATGACGACACTTTTTTTTTTCTTATAAATGAATAGTTTAATAATCTAAGCTCGATTGATAAGTTCCTATCGTCTCTAGTGATGAATATTTATGATTAATATTGATGCTAATTATATCATATTACAGTAGATTTAGAAAAAAACAAAATACATCATCATCATCAAGTTTTTCATCGCATTGATATCCTAAGGATAGAAGACGGAAAAGGACAAAGTCGTTCTATTTACTATAGAATTCAATCATATTTCGAAGCCGATCAATGGCACTCAAAATTGATTATACATACAGCCGATCATCTTATGTTTTTATTTTTCAATATATAAAGATTGTTTTCATTAAAACATAGTTGCAAACATTATTTCTAATTAAATAGACTAAATATATGACATAGAATATTAAATTAACTAAGAAAAAGTAATTAATATTTAACGAGAAAAATTACAAGTCAATCGATGAAGATTATCTTGACATATACAACGATAGGTTACCTATGTGTCAATGTATAGATTGACATTCGTTCAAGGTTATATTTTCTATTGATGAATGAAATTTTGAAAATACTATTACAACTAAATTGTGAATATTTTTTTTTTGTTTTCTAACCTTTAATTTCTTTTGTAAATTTGACTCGTTGTGCATCATTTAATGGTCGTCGTTGTTCTTGTATATCACGTATATCTAATACTTCACACATAAAATCAATTACTGGTTGTGATTTATAAAAAGCAGTAGCACTAACTAAATAGTTAAACAAAACAAAAAAAAAATCTTATCAATTATATTTTTGTAAATACAATTAATTTTTTACCATCAATATTTAATGACATTCGCCAATAAGATGGTCGAACGGATTGATGAAAACCAAACCATACTTCACGACCACCACCCAATGGATTATATTGTATATCAGGTGGTGAAAAAAATGAACGTCCAACCGGTGTATATCTAAATAAAAAAAAAACATTTTTCGTTATAGAAAATTTATGATATTGAAAAAAACATTCAAAAGTCAATATAAAAGCTCAATATATGTAACCTGTATGTTCTGGAAAATAAAACTAAGTGTTTTTATTTTTTTTCGAATTTTAAACAAAATTTTTATTATATAAATTACTTACTTCATACTTGGTAAATGTCTCATAATAACATCAAGTGCTGAAACAGCTTCATTAGGCACCGGTGGTCCATGTCCTTGTAAAGCTTCTTGTAAACTAACTAAACTAACTTGTGCAACCCATTTTATTTGTACTTTAAAACAACGATCACGTCCTTCACCAGGACCAGGTAAAGTAACTTCAAGTTCAATACGTTCACGACCAAATGGTAATGGATCTTTAGTATATAAATTTCTTTTTCCATCAAATGCTGGATGTTGAGAATTAAATATATTTTGAAATTTATTAACCATTGTATCAATTATTTCACGATTAACACGTTTTGGACATTTATCTGGTTGTATATTAAGATCATAATGTTGAATAAGTATTGGTGGTATACGAATAGCAAAATGATTTGCACGTAATTTTATTGAACGACCTTCACGACCAAAATCTGGTCGTGGTGGAGGTGATAAATCAAGTGGAGGATTAAGCATTGTCATTATACCAGTTCCAGGTGGTGTTGATGGTATTGATGCCATATGAGGTGGAGGTGGAAGACCCAATGGATTAGTTGATGAAGCACCTGATGAACTTGTACTTGTATTAATAACATTTGTTTGTTGTTGTTGTTGTTGTTGTTGATTATTTCCGTTACCATTTCCACTACCTTGTGTAGATGATGATGGTGGTTGACCAATAGGTGGAAGGTACATTTCGAATAAAAAATTAAGGATGTCGAAATGTTTTCTTTTTTAATGTCAAAAAAAAATACGCTAATAATAAAAAATTATCCTTTTTAGGGGTCTCATTCGACGAATTATACTAAAATAAATTTTGAAATAGATATAAAATATAGAAATAAACAAAAAAACAGAACACATTAATAGAATGAAGGTAGTAATTATATTAGATAAAATATACGATACAATGGTCTCGGCCATTAAGGATTATCTATACTCTATACATGCATCTTTATCTTTGTTTGATTAAAGTTAATAGAGATACGATTAAAAAAAGTTTGAAGAAAAAATTCTCAGATATATACAATGTAATGAGAAAAAAAAATAAATAACATAAAATAATATGTCAGATTTGTAAAGATGTCGCTAATGTTTCGACATTGAATAGGTGACCAGTATGTATACTAATCTGTAAAACCATCTTACTTCATTGCTTTCAATGAGAAGGAAATCATACCTTTCGTGAATTTAGCAAGAAATGATTTTTATATTGAACATTAATAAGACTAGACATATTCCCAGGTCCAATAAAACGGCGTAATAACGATGTAAAACGACGCCGTAATCCGTCAGACCAGATAAGACGCCGTTTTCGACGGTCGGAATGATCGACCTGGGTGCATAGGATATCTAACCATTTAAGTATAAAACTGTCATCGGTTAATTGCTAGTATATGGCTGATCTTTTGATACTACTGAAGATTTACAGACGATTTTTGTATGGTTTAAATTACATCTGTTGCGCGGTACTATATTTGATATTTTGTCAAGGTTTGGCAGCGCATTAAGAACACATTAGAAATGTAGACTTTGCATAATTGATAAATGTATATTAATAGCCAAAAGATATTCTTTGGGATTTTTCGACATGAACTCATATTTAATTGATTTTATAATACTAGAGAAAAAATTGATTATCATTTATATTCATTTCTGTCTAGATGTTATTTGTTTCGTACTTATTTTCTAATAAATAAATTTCTATCGACAAAATAGCTGCAAAATGAATTAATAGACGATAATCTTAATTTTACATGTACTACTCGAAGCTAATTTATGTCAATTTAAATTTTACTAGAATCAATAAAAAATGAAATTATCCATGGAGTCCAAAGGCATAAAATGTAAGTGAAAATGATGTAGTAATTTTTGTTAGACATACAAACTCGTATAATGACATTGATTGGATATGATGAACGTGTTTTTACACATTTTTGTAGAATTGACCTCGTTCTTTCTTGAGAATAAATAGATTCTGTATAATAATTAACCTCAACTCAAACAAAAAAGTAACACATTGTTCTTTCTGAACAAGTGATATTTTTTCTACAAAGCATCAAAACTAGAGTGTAGCAATACTTTTGTAGAAAATTTAAATACAATTTGGAATATTAATCGAACGTTAATTTAATCTAAATAAGCATGTTCAATCTTATTCAAATCTCAATACATATAACCTTTTATTGTAAGAAAATTTCTGCTTCATTCATTATTAAAATACACAAAAACTGCTATGCGACAATTGACCTATGACATTTTTAAGAGAGTATCACGTACAATTTCTTTTCTAAATGAAGGAAAAGCAAACACTGATAATTTTGTCAAAATATAAATTAGTTTAGTTTGAAATAAATTTCAATACAAATGATACGTATTGATTTATAAGAAGAACTTTGTTGATAAAACTTTAAATTCAATAAATTCTCTTTTATTTTCACCTTAATTTTAATACCAAAACTTTTGATTGAAGATATTATACTGACATATCTAATGTATAGTCGTAGAAAGTATCTAATTATGATAAAATAAGTTTGTTGTCTTGTTACAGTGTACAGGTGATATATGTTGATGAAAAGTCTTCGAAGTAGATATAAATAAGATAGTTGTGTTGAATACAGTATATCATTTTAAATATAAAGATTGAATGAAAAAGTTTCGAAAATGATCGTTTATTTCTATAGAACAAAAGAATTTGATTATCCTTTTCTTTTTTTTTATTGTTTTCCTAACGACCAAACAACAACAACAAAAAATTCTCAATCTTGTTTATGCTTAGGAACGGTTATAATTGATTTGACATATAATACAGATGAATCCAAAGGATTAATTGTATTATTCATGACATCAGATTTGTTATCAAGTAATTCATTAATAATTGTATTTGATTGAAAATTATTTCTAAATAAATAATTTGATGTTGATTGAAAATGTTCCATCATTACTGGATTAACCCATGCAATTGATGGTCGAGGTGCTCTTGTTTGAAAATTAATTGGATATGACTGACGATATGATATTGTAGAAAGTGGCTCATGAGATTGTAATGATGGTAATGAAGGTTTCATACCAAGATTGATAACAGATAAATGAACATCTTGATTAAATGTTGAAATTGGTTTATTATCTAATTTATTTTCCTAGAAGAAAACGAGATGCTGTATAATTCTTTGTTTTTTTTTTTCTTATTTATATGATTTATACTTTTCGTTTATTTTTATTTTTTCTACGATTTTTTTGTTGTGATTCATATGGATCAAATAAATGAACAAGATCATTTGTTGATTGAATATTTGTTGTTGGTTGATCAAGAAAAAGTCGTGCTAATTTATGTTTAGCAATAAATAAATTATTATTAGCAAAATCATTACGACGATATGGTCTATGACCAGCATTACTATCTCTAGCTGTAGGTATTGATGGTAAAAATGAATCGCTACCATTTGTCATATCAATTAATGATTGTGCACTTCTTGAAAGTGATGTATGTCGATGTTGTTGACTATTTAATGGTACACGATATTCAGCCGTTGGTTGTTTACGACGATAATAGTAAGCAGCAAAAAATCCTGAATTCAAATTCATCTATTATTATTGGTTTCTCTTATTGAATGATTTTATGTCTTTTTTTTTTTCAAAATTATACTTCTTCATTCATTTTAAAAGTAACGGAAATGGAATGTAAAGAGAGAAAAGAATTGCAACTAATTGGCTTTGTCAACTAAGTAGTACTTTTCTCTTCATCTTTTTTTTTTCTTTTTATTTATAATATTTATTAATTGAATAGAATAAAAAAGAAAAAGAAGGGAAAAATGATTTATTTTCTTCGTTATTGTTATTACATGTCTTCAATGTCCGCTCGTAAATAATCAATTAGACGACTGATTTCAATAATACGTTTACGATTTCGTTTATATTCTTCTTCTTCATGTATATTATCCATCATTGTTGTTAACCAATTTGATATACGTGAAAACATTTCATCTTCACGTTGATCTATTTTTGTTCGATGAACTTCATCTGATGTTTGACAAGCATTCATTATTGTATCTTTATCAGTAAAAAGCTATAATAGAAAAATTAAAATATTTCTTTTTTTTTTTTTTTTTTTTTTTCGTGATGTTATATTTAATCTACGAACTTCTCGTGTATCATCAGGAAATTCATCTTCTAATTCACCTTTTAGAATACGTTCAACCGTAGCTACACATAAATTAATAATATTTTCATTAAAATATGCTTGTAATTCACGTAATTGACTAAAATTTGCACGCATAGATTCTGTAAAATTCGAAACCATTTCACCTAAATTTCGTTCAAATGTTTGAATTGTTTCCTAAAATATTATATATATATATATACAATTGAGAAAAATTATGTTAATAAATATATATATATTACTTCTAATTGATCAACAAGTGTAATTTCTAAAGCCATTAATTTATTACGAAGATTTGTTAGTGCTTCATCATATTCAGCTGCAACTGTTGGTGATACACCTTGTTGTTCAAGATCTTCTTTTGCCTATAGAGATACAAAACAAAATGTTCGAATAAAAATTCTATGAAATTATAAAATATGATGCAGCTAGTCTTAAAGAATTGATGACAACGAACAGATATGAAGAAAAATGAGCTAAGACAATAACAAACTGATACTATTTCTATACTTGCTCATTTTCTTCTTTTCATCATTAATTGATATGTTTGTGATTTATACTGTAGAGAAATTGATATTTTCTTGTCTGATTGGACCGATCTATCGAATGTATCGAACTGTATTATTCTGTTTTGAATTTCTTTAATATAAATCAGCGCAAAACATTATACAAATATTGTTTATTCTGCAAATCGATACAATCAGACGAAAAGTTTTGATCAAATTCTATAAGAAAGTAATAGTTTCCATTTCAGTCGCATAGACATATACGAGATAGACTAGTGTGCTTTTAAAATCAACTATTGAGATCAGAAACCGATAATTTGCTACGGCTCTAACTACCACTATCTCATATATGTACTATAAGAGATTTTATTAGTCATGTATAGAGACGATACCAAAACAACTTTGCGTTTTCTTACTTTTGGCCGACTATATTTATACGTACTGAAAGATACTTTTTTTTAGAAATACCGGGTGTCCCAAAAGTCTTTTCCTGATAAGTTTTTTGAATATCTCCGCCAGATGTCGACCAAACGATCTGAAATTTTTACCAGTGATAGAGGCATATTCAAAGTTTATATCCATAAAGACATGCCTAGAGAGACCCTTTGTTAAGTATCACTATTGACCTCAACAAGAAAAATTTACTTTTTCACAGTTAGAAGAAAATGTCACTTTACCGAAAACAATTGAATATCTCTGCTACGGCTAGAGCTAACGAGCTGATTTTTTTATCAATGATAGAGAGATGATCAAGCTTTATATTCATAAAGACATGCCTAGAGAGATTCTTTATTAAGTATACTAGAGTTTTTTCTATCTGTGAAAAAGTGAAATTTTTCTTGTTGAGGTCAATAGTGATACTTAACAAAGGGTCTCTCTAGGTATGTCTTTATGGATATAAGGCTTATACATGCCTCTATCACCAGTAAAAAAATCAGCTTCTTTGCTCGAGTCGTAAGGGAGATATTCAATTTTTTTTCGGATGGGTGACTTTTGAGCTATAAACAGGGTGGCCCAAAAGTCAATTTGCCAAAATAAAAATTGAATACCTCCATTACGGCTCAAGCAAACGAGCTGATTTTTTTATCAATGTTAGAGAGATGATCAAGCTTTATATTCATAAAGACATGCCTAGAGAAACCCTTTGTTAAGTATATTGTTTTTTTTTCCCATCTGTGAAAAAGTGAAATTTTTCTTGTTGAGGTCAATAGTGATACTTAACAAAGGGTCTCTCTAGGTATGTCTTTATGGATATAAACTTTGAATATGTCTCTATCACTGGCAAAAATTTCAGATCGTTTGGTCGACATCTGGCGGAGATATTCAAAAAACTTATCAGGAAAGGACTTTTGGGACACCCGGTAGATCAATATAATGCTAAGTTTTCCTTTAACCCAATACATAGATCTCATAGATAATTGTCTCTGTAATCACTTCGATGGTCGGGAAAATTAGTTCTATATTAAAGAAAGCGTTGCTAAAATCTTCGCATCTGTTATCAAAGCGAAATATTTGATTTTCGCTAAGAGAAAAAATCCATGAATTGACTCACAAATAATGTCAATCTATAAGTTTTAAATTCATCTACAATTGCTGCAGCTAGACGAGTATTTTCATTTTTTGCTTCATTAACACATATCCAAAAATCTTCAATTTCATGATCTCTTATTTCTTTTTCCTAAAACACATAAATCAAAATTATCCTTTGATTTAACAAGAAAAATTTTTTACTTTTAAACCAAATTCAAACATTGAATAAACAATAGCATTAAATTTTTGTTCAAATTGTGTCATTAATTCATCAGAACCGGGTACAAGAATTAATTTTTGACCTTCAACATCATCTTTAAACATTGTTTGAAATAATTGACTTTGATCCATATTTTCAACAAATGCATCCTTCAAATAACAATTTCAATACAAAAGATATAATTTTATTTAAAACTATTTCAGACTTTATATAATTGATATTGTTTAGTTTGATCTTCAGTTGTTTTTTCTTTCTCTCGTTCTTGTTCTTCAAGTGTAATTAATTGTTGTAATTGAATTTCATATTTTTTTGTTGCTTCTTCTCTCTAAAATATACTTAAATAAATTAGAATTGTCTATAAATCTGACATACAGGAGCATCATCAATAAGTTTGTAATCAAGAAAATGAACTTGTGGTAAATGAGAGATTGTAAATACATAATAATCTGGCTTAGATGCAAATGGATTACCACGAAGGCAAAGAGTTCGCAGATTATCAAATCGACGTAAATAACGTATCTAAAGGAAAATCAAACATTCAAAGGTATTTTATATGAATTTTTCTTTTATTTGAACGAGCGATTGGAAACGTCCAAAAGGATAAAAAATACTAATAAGAATTGTAGGTTTAATAAGCAGTATTGAAAAACATATTTCTTACACATTATGACGACAACTAATATGTGATTGAGATGTTTAGGCTGCTTCAGTCTTATATTTTTACACACTCTAACTTAAATGAATTATTAGTATGCTCAGAAGAATTGTTTTCTTTAAATCCTAGATACTTTTGACAGAGAGAGAGAGAGAAAGACACTATGCTACGACAAGAAAATCAATGTCGAACAGAGAATTTATTCAATGACGTATTCATGAATTCCTAAAAAATACTTAGGAAGACACTGATTTTGAATACTTTCTTTCCGACAACATACAGAAGTTTATTTATATTTCTGAATTACTGGTTCAAGTGTTCGCCAAAATGTTTGAGTTACCTACTAAGCAAATACTTAATTATGATTCGAACTTTTTGTAGATATAAAAAAAAAGTTTAAACCTGTTCGAAAATCAATTTTTATTTTGAAACTCGTTGATTTGGTGTTATTAGTATAACATATTTTTCTTCATATCATTGTTTCTCATTATGTTGCATTTGATAAACTATCATTTACAAGGCCAAACCAATCAAGTATTTGGTTGAGTTTTGACAAAAACAAATAATTCAAAAATAAAATTGTTCGGTTTTTCTATAAAGGTAGTTATCTCAACATAAAGCATATTTTATTTATTATCTCGAGTTCAAATTCATTCTTCAGCTTCGATTTATTACAGATCAACTATTGTTTTCTTTCATTTTATATTCGAAATAGAACTGTAGGCTATGTTAAATTAAGAATATTTTCTTACTAACGCTATTTTCGTCGTCGACTTGATTATTTCCAATAGAAAAAACATTAAGTTTTTTAAGCGAATCCATATTTTCAATAGTTGTGATTCGATTGTTATATAATGATAAATCAGTTAATTCAGCTAAAGAATCGAGACCTTCAATACGTGTTATATTATTAAATGAAAGATCTAAAATAAAGTATTTTTTTCATAAAAAAATATTTTATTAATATAAAAATTTTACCTAACCAAGTTAATTTTTGCAATGTATCTAGGCCTTCAATACGCTCAATAATATTATTATCCATTTGAAGTTTTGTTAAATTACTAAATAGCCAAAGATTTTCCATTCGAAGAATGTCTTAAAAAAAGAAGGAATGTATTTTGTCTGTTGAAATTCAAAAGATATTTTTACTTCGAAAATCCAAACGAAGTACACTAACTTCACTATAATTTAATTTTTCGTCTTTAGGAACGACAAGATTTTCTCCATCAGCTCGTAATGCCTCAACTGCATGTTGAAGCATATTCATTGAAATAACTTCCGGTTCGATTGCATCGTATAATCGAGCCATTTTTGTAATATCAAACTGGTCAGTTTTTGTCTTAGTGACAATTTAATCGACGATCAAACTTTCATTTTACTATTTCTGTTAAGCTCGTTTCTAAGAGACAAGAAAAACAAATCTTACTGGTTAAAAAATAGTCTTTCTTTAACATACATATATGTCGTGTCTCATCGGAATAAGTTCTTTTATTATTATCGACTGCAAGTGACATCTACCGAGTAGAAAAAATTTCTTGAAGTCATCAATCATTTCGAAAAGAAAGGCTAGGCATAATTCAAAGACGGATGTCCTTTATTTCACGATAACAGAAACTTTGAATAGTATCGTATTAATCAAATACTAAATATCCTCCTGTTAATTCTTATCGAGATGAGGCACTCAATCTGGAACGAATCAAGAATCAAAAAGTTAGCCACAAGGGCGATCTACATTGTCACGTTTAGATCTCGACGATTTTTCCTTCATAAAGAATAGGTCTATCAATGAAAAAATGTACTAGAACTACATGAAAACATTCAACACATTATTGTCATTCTCGTCTTCATATAACTGTGGTTACAAATGACTATATCAATCCTCCAACAGAATATACATGTGAAATTGATGGTACGGTATTTGAACTACGAAATTTTTGACGAATAAATTGATGTTCTTGCTTGTTATACTCAAAAAACACTAGATATTATTATTATTAAGTGTTACAACGATGAAAATACTCAGGTTATACAGATGACTTGTATGGATGGTTACGAATTTTGATACATCAAGACTTGTCTAATCGAAGAGTCCCTCGTTTACCATTATATACTAAAATAAAATGTCTAATCAGAAAGTTACATCGAAGTGAAAATGTTGTAATAGCCTTAAATTATCTAAAGTTTACGGTTAGTCCAAAATTTTTGACGGAAACTGTTGGTTTAATTAATTCTTTCATTGTAACCTTGTTTCAAGCATGCTTTTCAATCTATCAAATATTATATTTTCAACTTTTTTTAAAATTTTCTCTTATTAGAGATGATGATAGAATATTGATATTTGACAGTAATAACTAGCTTGATACTTCACAATCCACAAGCTATTTTCTTCTGGATGGTACATTCAAAATCGTTCCGAAAGCTTTTTATCAAATTCCTATTATTTATACTACATATCGAGATCATGTTCTTCCAATAGAATATGCTTTATTATTGCAACAAAATATTGCAACACAGTAAAACTCAATTGGACAAATGCTTCGATTCTCAATCCATTGAAATTCCAATTCTATTCTAATTGATTTTGAACGAGCATGTAGAAATATTTATGATGGAATTTTTTCAAATGTTTTATTATCTCATTGCTATTTCCAATTGTAGCAATATATTAACTCTAAACCACAGATAATCAACTCATGAGTGAAGAATTCACTAGTTGTACGTATAATTGACATGTAATATTTGTATTTAAATACTGAGGTATTAAAAGTAATATGACAGCAACTCAATTTTTATATATATTAATAGAAACAAAATGGGTGTGTTAGATTTTGTGGAATCTGATGAAGCGTTAAAAAGTCATTAAACCTTACCAACAGAACTCCTTGATCGTTGATGAGAACAAATAACTTAGCTGAAGCTTATCATCATCAAATTGGATCACGATTTCAATGTGTTCATCAAATATTGTGCATATTTATTGCAAAATTAATAAATGAAGAAGACGCTAGACATGCTGCTATATCATAAATAGATACAGATAGCTGCCAAAACGGGCCTGGACGTGGGTACATGATAGTCTTTGCTTTATCCGCATCTACACTCACATCTTTTATGTTGTGGACATTATTATAGAGATATTTATTTATTAGAATTGGTTTTGTCTTCTGTTAGTTGTAGATGAATGATTATTCTCGGCAACTCTTGTTACTTTTTCTCTACCAATAATTGTAAAAACCGTGTTAGTCTGTGTTAGGGTGATGTCGTACCTATACATATATATATATATATCTTATGATCTTCCTTCACTGTCTTTCATCTTTCATTTATCTCTTTCATATCTATTGGCACTGTGTTTTTGTTTCGTTTTGCATATACCAATATATGTTTTGTTTGTTTATGGATATATAGTAGAATAAAGTTCGTGCATACATCAGCACATAAAATAACATCTCAAGATAAACAAACATTTAGGATAATAAATAAAATCCTTATATTTGCCAACCCTGGAAGTCTGTCTCAAGCAAATTATGATGGGCAAAGATAAAAATATCTCAAGTCGAGCATCTATTTATCAAGGAATACTTTGAGGAACGATTAAGAGAATTGAATTCTAATGGAATCAGGAACTTGACAAGCAGTTGTTCGAATTTTACCTTGAAGAGGATAAAATTTCAATATCCTCGAAATGAGCTGCAAACGAAACAGAGTTCTAATTTCTTCTACGACATTAGTGAATGTTTTGACTGATAACACAATGTGCGTAGTCCGTTCAAAAAGTTCCCAAACTGGATTTATTTAAAAACAAAAAGAAGCACTGTTAAATTGATATTCTTACTTACGCGTAGTTTATGCAGTCTCTTGTCTATAGACATGATAAGCTCTGCTGCATGAAACATATATATGAAAACATAGAAATACATTGTAGGCCACTCTCTATACACTGACATAAAATGTAAAACTTGAGCAAAGTTGTATATTTGAAAGAGAAGCTGTTCTTCAAAATTTATGAATATATAGTGATAGTTTATAGTAATAATGCTTTATTAAATACTACGATATTTAAATGAATTTGTCATTTTATGCTTGAATGAAGGATTATTAATAATTGTTCTGTGCATGGTCAACATGTCATTGATATCGTGGCAGAGAATGTGATCTTCTCGTAAAACGAGTTCAATCATATTTGATTGATCATGCAAAATACTTTACACAGTATATGTGGAATGCGAACGATGTTCAATGTTTATTTCAGTTGGGACTCGACCGTCTTCGATCATCAGGTTTTCAACAGCTTTAACAGTTATGCTATTTACATTTAACATTGTTATCAAAGTATGACAATCTCATTCAGAAGCTGTAGTAACCGGTGGAGAGCCGATCAACATAAGCTGCTCCGGCATACCCATACCTATTAAATAAGATATGGGCTCATAGAACAAGAAATTTTATCATTAAACACCGGTCAATTGTTATGTGTCAGTGTATAGAAAGTGATCTACAATGTATTTCTATATTTTCATATATATGTTTCATGCAGCGGAGCTTATCGTATCTATAGATAAGGAACTGGCTGAGCTAAGCATTAGACAGAATACTGTTGAGCGAGTACTTCTCGTTGTTTTTAAATAAAACCAATCAGAGAGCGTTTTGAACGCGCCACGTACATCTCATTGAGTCGTGTTCTTAGGGAACGACATGACAATATTATTGTTTGATATAATTTCGGATTTATTTGATTAAAGAGTGTTGCACTAATTGAGTCTTGATCAATATACGAAATGATGCAAGCTGAATTTTAAGTTTACATAGTTTTTTATAGATTGATGGTGCTTCTCTTTAGTAGTGTTGAAATTTTTGTATTCGATGATTAAATGTGTCTGCTACATATAAGTTGAGTTGATCATCGAGTATCACTGAAGAGGGTACGTAAAGTAAGGTTGCATTGTCACCTGGTATGCCTGTGAAACCAGCAATCGTAGTACTATTCGATTGGCCAGCCAAAAAGAATTGTATTCGATAGTTATGTGAATCAGCTACATATAAGTTGCCCCAGCTGTCCAGTGTTATATCGAATGGTTGATCGAATAGTGTCGATGTGCTACCACTCGATCCGCTGATGTCACCAGCGACCAGTGTCCAGCTAGTGGCACCTAATACCCAACGAACAACATTATTAGCTGCCCAATTCGAAATCACCAAACTGTTTGACGATAAATCAAAGCAAATACTATAAGGATAAAATAACTGCGTGTTGCCGAGTCCTTGATCATTACCACCGGCAACAACAGTACCCGACAACGTATTCGGTAGATATCTCATTACACGATGATTAAAAGTGTCAGCTATATACAGCGTGCCTGAGCTCGAATCTCGTGCAATCCCTTGTGGATAAGTAAGCTGATTGTTCAACGTTCCAGGACTTCCTACAAATAGACGTGTACACGAGATTAATTGGAGTAACACAACTTTGACAACAAAATCTTCCGAAGCCCTCACTCTATCAATCATTGTGCCTCGTTGATTAATATGCAGAAGGAATGATATGAAATCTTGCCATCACCTGAGAGAGATAGGCCTAGATCATTTCTTTTAATATATTTTAGTTTGACTAATTTGACGATAGAGTTTAAGTTTTCACTCTAACCTTTAAAAAAATTTAATAGCAAGATCGAGTTTCTAGTTGCCAAACATAAAATTTTGCGATAATTCGAAGGTTTAATCATTTAACATTAAGATAAGAAAGATGCTTTTATTATGAAGATAAAAAATCAAGATGTCTACTTACATTTAAGAAACAACCTTTGCAAAAAAGCGGCTACCGAAAACTGAACAAGATGAGTTACTCAGCTATCCTATATCATGTGCCGGCTTCGGTTTAAATACTCAACGCTTTCCAGTTTTAGTCAAAAATAAGTAATAAAAATGATAAGTTTGACTGCTCATCGACTGTTCTGCAGTCATTATTAGCGAGTTGCAAACTGATTTTCATAGGTACTGCGTTACATTTTCACCAGAAAACAGTATTTATTTTTTTAAGAAATCAAATACTTGATTTGAAAAGTGGTTGGCAATGTCAATCAATTAAGACGAAATTGTAAGCATTTTTTTCTCGGAACTATTATCATTGTCCTAGGTTATCACGAATGTTGAGCACTTCAAGTGTCGTTACAAGGAATTCCATCATATAGACGCCTGTTGTTGGCTTATTTTGAGGTGTGATAATCATCTTATACTTATGCAATCTGATATTTATGCAAGAATTACACTAACGTAAATTACAATTTACAAATCGTATGAACACTCTTTCGTTCTCTTGTGACAACCCTCATTCCATGTATATAATTCAATGTTGCTTAAAGCCGAAGAATATGTTCAATAGGCCTATGGCTCTGATGTATTTTTCTAAAAGTTCATATCGAACAAAATACTTTTATAAAACTTTCATTGAGCGATCGCTAGTTGACACTTCATTGGATACTCCAATGCAAGTTGTCACATAGGAAAAGTCTGTTTACCGATCATATTTTAAATTGATTCAGACGATTATAAATAAGTCTTTTGGAAATATATGTGTTTACCTGTGCCAGCGATTGTCGTGCCCGCGGATGCGTCTCTAGCCCAGAATTGCACTCGATGATTGTACGTATCAGCCACATAAATATTTCCATTCGAATCGACAGCGACGTCGGCAGGAGTGTTCAAGTAGTTTGAATCGCTTCCAGGTGTTCCACTTGCGTCACCAGCCACTGTCATCCCAGTCGATGCTCCCAACAACCATGCTTGCACTCTATTGTTATACCAATCGGCAACATAGAGTGTATTGGACGAATCCAATGCCAGACCCATTGGACCATACAATTGGTTGGCCATTGTGCCTGGTATACCTACAGTGCCGGCTACAGTAATACCCGCTGAATTCCACTGGAAGGTAGGAATCATAGCTACAATAATCAAATGCATGTATTCTCATTACACCTATAAGCATAATCGTTTTTTATACAGCAGTATTATTTTTTCAGCGAATCGATGTCGGAAAATTTTCTCAAAGGACAGTTATTAGCAAGGTCTTTGCCTTTTCTTGTGAATTTTTCTTAGCCCCTTTTTAGGAATGAAGCTAGAACTATTGCCTATCATTCCGATTGACGCTATTGCTTATGTTACTTGTACTAGCCTTTGTTCATTTTGTCTCTCAATTCAGTGCTTTTGAGTTAGAATAGGTTAGTACAGTTGTGCACGAGAGATTTTCGACCGTGTCGAATCTATTTGTGATATCTGTTCTTATTTTTATAGCAATTTGCGACCAGTGAATGAAGAACGTAAAAATTAATTTTCTGTCATTACTAGAATATGGCGAACTCACGCAGCGTACTCTTTATTTTATGAAACCAAAGTCCTTTGAGGATTGGTACAGACATCATCTCTTGTTTCAGCATAATCCATATTCTCGCGTGCGACTATGACAATTAAACAGGACTATAGCTCAAACGAACTCGTCACTAGAGCAGTTTCATCTAATTTTCATTAGACTTTCAACCATTTTTCAATTCTTTTCTCGACATCGACTGAAGAGAGGAAGCCTCTTTCTGTTTCAAAATGGCTTTCGCTTGTGACGATATTCATTTGATGAGTACTAAGGAATGATAAAAAACTTTAGTCTTTGGGACCTTTATTCTCGAGATATCGAAATTTTACTGGATTTTTGAACAAAAAGTACTGCCTACCTACAGGGCGCGTGAAAAATCGACTTTCAAATTTCGCCTTCAAACTCTCCACAAGCAATTTTCTCCATTAGATTAGTTTATTGAGTGAGTTTTAGCTTTTCTAGTATTTTCTATCCTGAGATATCAAATATTCGACATTCGCTCATGTGAAACAGCAAAATTTTCATCGTCAGAAGAGAAAGAGTAGCAAAGGTGATATTTACTCAACAAACTAATTTTATTGAGAATCGTGTTCGTGTAAGGTTTGAGGCCGAAATTCAAAAGTCAATTTTCTATGTGACTGGAGGGAAACCACAGATTTTTATTGAAAAACCTCGTAAAATTTCTATATCTGGAAAATCATGACCCAGAAAATCAAATTGCTGTAGATTTTTCTATCACTCGTTAGTATTTATCAAATGAATATTGTCTCAGGTGAAAACAATTTGAACTTGAACAAGTTTTCTCATGAGCTTAATCTTTCACATGATCATATTCATGTCGAAGTCACATTGATAAACTAAAAAATGAATCACTATTATTACTAGTGGTTGTCGTTGTAGTTTTCATTAAACTCGTTGTCATTAGCGTCGTTGTCATCGCTGCCGTCGTTGCCGTTTTTGTCGTTACCGTGGTTGCTGTTGTTGATGTTATTGCTGGAATTTTCAAAAAGCAAAGAAGAAAAAAAGCATAGTAAGACAGTCGGTTGTTTTTAGTACATCTTTTCTTCAACGTCTAGGTCTACTGATCACATTGGTTAAAAGAAAATCCTGGTCAATCTGATATTGAACAGCCATACTAAATCTACCCTCTAGACTAAAAGAATATTGTGTAGAAGTGATAATTAAAGTTAGACGGTCATATACCCTTGAGATATTATCAGTATGTTGAGTTTTAGAGGTAAATATTTAATTCAATGTAATGTTTGATATAGAACATAAAAGATTCTCACTTTTGGTTTTCTGTTTATTTATGCATAGGAAAAAAACAGCTGAAACTGACATTGAAATATGTGTTCTTACCGAAGACTAATTTTGACAGAGTTGCAATCACGACTACAAGAATAATCAGAACAACAGCACAAACAATCAAAACAGTCATAATATGTTTCTTTAACCAAAATTTCAGTCGATTGCGTCTAAAAATATACGAAATCAATGAAATGTGAGTTCAATAATGATCCTCATAAAAACATATTTACTTTTCGCACATATACACGTGACCGTGGCGAAGTATGAACTAATTTAACGAGAGCTTTTTCATTCAACACCTTCTCTTTGTATTCAGTATGTTTTTATAACGCAAAATAACACTTGACTCCCTTCTCTATCAAAATAGATATAACAACCCTGAATTGCTCAGTTTCCAGTAATCATACGAGTATTCAATTTGATCCACAGTTATACTCACTTCCAAAAATTCGAATCAGATCGGTCGAGTCTGTCTTTAAGCTTGATAAATACTCAATCAGTTGAACCAACTCAGTTAATCCTCTCTCAACTGATTCTAACCAAAGTTTTGTTCCTTATTACTCAGCAGTAAACATTACTAAATAGTTCTCCAAAGAGTTAACGAGACAGATGAGGATCAGATCGTACATTTCTAAGGAAAATGGTAGACAGCTAAGACAGTATTGAAGAAATAAAAGCTCTTTCTAGACTCTTCAGAATCTTTCATAGTGGAATTAAAGAAGCACTCAAGAGAACCTTGATGGATTAGTTGAAAAATGACATACAAGTTTCTCAAAATGTTTCTTCGTCCAACTTGTCCAAAGCCGAAACTGAAATCAACCTGCTTTCCTTACAAGTGTTTCGTGTTGAAACGAAAAGTGCAAGGTCATAAAAATCCTTCTTTTCAAGTTAACACAGACTTCATTAAGATGCATTTTTTGACATGTAAATGTCGAAGATAAAGTACTCGGGGATCGAGTCAGTTTGAATCGCACTCTGAACTACTCAACATATTGACTTTGTCTCCATTCAATTGAACTCATTCATTTTAATTCAAAATAAAAACTGATTGAAGCATGCTATATCTCTTCATTGAGTTTCACAAAACATGTTCTTTACAAAATTACATTATAAGAAGTGTAAAACAGCAGACTTGACTAATCCGCAGTATATCGAAGTACAGAAATATGTACGAAGTGGAAAACCACTTTCCATACTGTTTAAGTGCAGATTGCCTTCAAAGACTAAAAAATGTATTCATTTATTGGTATTTGACTGATTTCACCAATGTGAGCCTGCACTCATCTTTGTCAATCAAATATCCAAATTGTGCTCGAGATTCATATGAGTAAAGAAATCAGTTGGGTACAAGATATATTAGATAGCATGAGGATAAACTTCAGTCGAAAACAATACGAATGCTTCCATGCCTATTATGATGATCATAGTGCACAATAAAATAGACCAATACTTTCACGTATTTAAAAAACTTTCAGTGCGATCCCTACAGGATTAAAATATGAAACATGATAGAGTTGTTTCATATGAATGTGAACATGCTTCTTTTACTTTTCTCGATTCGTCAGAAGGTAAGAGAACATCATCTCCAAGTTTTTGAGATGGTCTGTAATTGTGACTAAAATGCCGCATTATGAGAGAATAATAGACCTTTAGCCTTGTAGGATTTCAAATCGATTGAAAATCACACAAATCGAAAGATTCAGTATCAAAAAGTCCAAAAATCGTAAACTAGATGGTTAAAAAGCCAAAATCAAATGGTCCGCAAAACCACAATGGGATGTGGTCCTGCCTGTGACAATCGAGATGTTTTTCTGCAATGTCTATCACAACAACTCTCAACGAGTTTGAAGAGTCACGTGTCTGTTCAAGTCTATGAGGCAGAGTGAGGGCAGAGCGGTTCACTTTTCTCATTCTAAACCTTAACAATCATTCTAAATCATGCTCAAATACATTTATACCATTGTGTACAAGATTCGAAATCAAATTACATTGCAAAACTCGATAAAAAATCTCATGTGATACTAAATTTGGTTAATAAATCAATCTATAATTGTTTACCTGTTACTACCAAGTGTGGGTGGATTTGTTACTTCTTGTAACTGTAGAAAGATTAATATAACAAATCTATTATGAAACAAGGATGCACTTACCACAGATGATACCAGTACGGAACCAACTGTTGGTCTAACAGTCGACGTAGTACCAGCAGCTATCGCTGGAACCGCAATGGAATATATCGGTGTTACGTCATTTCTTCGGCCTACTGTTCGACGCAGTACTGGTAGAATTTTTCTTCGAGTTAGGCGCACTGACGGTGGTATAATACACTTTAGTGCTGTCAAAACGCCTCCTATGAGTCCGAAAAGTGTCGTTATGATGTAAACGACATCATTACGCTTCGTAACAGTGTAGGTACACTCCAACGGTCTGCATTGTTCGAAATACGATAGATAAGATATGTTGTTGTGCCACTGTTCAATAAACAACTGATCGATGAGTTCGCCGATAGTAGTGTTCGGTAGATATTTACTTCTCAACCATACTGAACTGAGCAGTGCAGTTGCATTTACACGTGTAGTTATCTGACTGCCGAGCCCAGCCAAATTCATTTGAAGTTGATCAATCAGAGTCTGATTGAAAAAGAATTCAAGTGTCGAATGGCGCAATGATTCAAAGATTGAGCAACCAGTATAAAAGCCAGGAATGAAAAATAGAAATTGGTATGTCAATCCATTGGAATAGATCATCTGATACAAACTCGATGGGGCAAAACAGTTTTGCGACTGATACTTACACGAACAATTGTTGTCGTAAGTCTGGTAGACTACTTTGAACGTTTGGCGCGCTTCCATGAATACTGAATAAGAATCAGTTCCTGCTACGGACTGTAGTGAATTAGTTGCTGTTGTTATTCGAATTGCTTCCATTGAGTTAACGGACGAAAGAACTACTGCAGATTTCAAAGTTTCAATCAGTAAATCAGATTCTCGTTGAAGCTGAAGTTCTGACAGAGCTTGTGCCGAAATGTAGCTCTTGGATTTAAAGTCAGTGATTGCTTGTGACAAAGTCTCTTCTGAATATCTGCATAAAGCTGACAAAAGATAGAGTGAAAGTCCGCCCGCTGATCGAAAGTCACGACTGGTGATGTGGGGAGGCACAATGAATGCATACAAATATAACCACGAGTAGGCTTCTGTGAAAAAGTAATTTAGCCATGGTTTTGTATTATCAGCGAAATCCGAAGAACATATTTGATGTTTTTCGACAC